CCTCAAATATGTTAAGACATTGTTGTTGCTTAGAATCCGGACTAGAGGTAAAGTAGAATCCAAAAAATATGTCAATCTCACAGATACTTATGCGTGACTAAGCCCCAACTCTGAAGCAGTAAGCTCAATCAATTCATCATACTTGCATGTATCATTCACGAGTATAAGTGATACGTGACTTCCATATAACAGGCATGCGTGAATAATTGCCATCCCTGATCATAGACAAATAAAAGCATGTCACATTTTATTCATCAAAATCGGGAAACATTCAGATGCAATGACATTGGTCAATACAGGTCACAGATCAAAAAGTTATAGGTCATAAAAGTCCAGATGAAATGTCAATATACTCACATACAATGAAGAAAGATAAGGTCAGAGAGAGTAACTTTTAATACGATGACATTGATCATAGATCAAACTATTTCCACATATGTCAGGACATTTAACATATAGGTCACAATCTATTCAATTTCCTAGTCACAACTTGTCACAGTCAATAGAAACATGTATCTATATGAATGAATTACATAAACGGTTATAGATAGTCACAGATCAGCATGTTTATAAATGTATAAATAGTTATGCTCGTACTTTTTGTCGAGCTTCAACATGTATCAAAAAAGAGTAAATTGAACGATAATTTTAAATGTAAGAAAAAACCTTAAAATTGCCTAGCTTCAACTTCTCCAAAACTAAAGTCAGAACTATGTCAACAAAATTGTGACTTCGTTGGATGATTGTAGCTTGAAATCAACGATTAACAATATATTTTTCGTGATCTAATGTCGTTTTGACAATCACGGAACTTCAATTTTTTGTCCAGAGAAAATCCAATTCCTCCATATCCGAGCTTCAACTTTTCCATAATAATGAAAATCAGAAGTATTTTAACGAGATTGTGACTTTATTTATTGATCTTAACTTGAAATTGAGGAATGGCAATGAAGTTTTGTGGCTTTGGAGAGTTTTTCAGGAACGAGATGTTTAGAGAGAGAAAATCGGGTGTGGTTTTGGAGAGTTTTCGTTGGTTAGAGAGAGAAAATCGGGTTTGATTTTGTGAGGAATGTGAGAAATATATTAAATATGGTATATTTATTTATTTGGAGCAGATTAGTATTTTTTTTCTCCAAAAATAATGTTTATTATATTATAACATAATATATTTTTTATTTTTTATTTACCCCTTGATTTATGAAAGATTTTAGGTAGTTTGTCAATTGTGAAATGTGTTTTTATAATGTAGTGATTATGTGGTCTTCCCTTATTTATTTATGTTTATTTTTCGAAGAGGAACATACCGTGTCATCATCAAGAACGATGATCAAAGTTTCATGGTTCGACGGTTGATCAGCATCCATTTTTGAAGGGGCAATCCCTTCTATATGGAATTTGACGTGTAACTACAACAGAGTACGATTTCTTCATTTTGGGTGGCACTAGACCCATCAAAGGACCATTACCGGAAGGATCACCAACCACTGGGCCTCAAGATTTTACAATTCCCATCAAAATAAACATGAAATCTATCAATAGCTTAATTGAGAACAATAGATTAATTATGAAATTTTTATACTGATACATCGATGGCTAATGGAAAAATAAAAAGGGAAAGCGGAAAAAAACACAAGAAAAGGATTTGGCACGGACGCCTACAAAATTATATAATTATTAATGATATCTATAAGTGGAAATTACAGATTATAATAGATTAAAAATTTCCATTTCATAAAGAAGATGTAATGTTTAATATTTCACAAATCATGATTTTTTTAATTAATTAATATATTTAAAAATTAATCTAATAAATAATAATTTCATGCCCTAATTATTCTTCAACTTTCATTTCCCCCTACCCCTAACCCCCAATTCTCTCTCTCTCTCAACACTGCCCGACGACAAATGGAGGAGCTGCTCTATTGTACTGTCGACGAACTGGTGGCAATCTGTGGTGGTTGGGGTGGTATGTGTGCAGTGGCGGTGTGTATGTGCGTGGGTGTGGTGGTGTGTGCAGCGGTGGTGGCGTGAGTGTTATGTGTTTGGGTTGTATTGATTGTGGTTATGGTGGGGATGAGGTTCCGACGGTTGTGGGGATAGTGGTGCTAGCGATGGTCATGTGCGGTGACCGGTGGCTGGGTATGCTGTGTTGTGTAGCGTCGCGATTCGGAGGCGACCGACAGCAGCAGCAGTCTGGCCGTGAATGACAAGATCTGGTCGCGATCTGCAGTAGATGCGTTCGACGCCGGCATTTCTTCATGGGCGCTACAGATCTTTTTTTTGTGCAGTGAGTGGATGGTTCGATGTTGTGGTTGAGTGTGGTGACCGGTGGCTGGGTGTACGATGTTGTGTGATGGTTGATCTGGTGGGTACGCAGGTAGCAGTGGTGTTGGAATGGTGGCTGACGGTGGGGGGTCGTGGTAGTGGTGATGATGAGATGTTGGTGGTTGCATGTCGTGGTGGCAATGACAGAGAGGTGGAGCTGCTGTTGGCGTTCAGAGAATTGATGATGATTCTGGTGGTCGTCGTGGTTCTAGGGCGATGATTTTGGGCGGCTTGTTTATTTTTGTTAGATCTGGCGGCGGAGTAGGTTTCGATGGAGGTAGAGGAAGTGGTGCTAGCTACCGCAGCTAGGGATGTTGGCTGTGCTGATAATTGTGATTGTGACCGTGACTCCCAATTGTGACTTAACATTGATTATGCGACCGTGACTCCCAATTGATTAAATTGTGACCAAAAAATAATTCAATAATTTACTATGAGTAAATGAATAGTGACAATAAAATTTTTAATTCTGTGACCGTTGAATAATCGGTGACCTATAAAATTTCTAGATATAGCAGTGGAGGTGGGCTATTGCAAGAAGTGGCTAGGCGATGGTCACATGTGTTGTGACCAACTAATAAGTTGAATGTGGCCAATAATTGGTTAATTTGTAATAAATAAATAATACATGACCTAAAAATTGTGTTTGTGACTTAAAATTTATTGAGTTGTGATCAAAAAATTAATCTGTGACCTATAAAATTTTTGATTCGTGGCCGAAAAATAATATGTCACTATAAATTTTTTAATTTTTGACCGAAAAATAAGTTGTGGCCAATAATATGATAAGGCGTGACTAAAAATTAATCTGTGACTAATTATTTTTTGATTTGTGACCAATAAACAAACTGTGACTTACAAAATTTTTGAATTGTGATCGTAAAAAAATTTGTGACATAAAATTTTTGATTTGTGACCAAAAAATAATAAGTAACTAATTATATTGTTAATTTGTGACCAAATTGTATAGATCCGTGACCTAAATATATTTAATTAATAAAATAATTAATTAACAAATTAAATCATAAATAAATTTTAATAAAAATCTGATTTTTGAAGCTTGAAACTTATTTTCTTAATTGTGAAATGTGTAATACTTAAATTCTTACTTATGAAATTTTCCCAATCTATAATAATACTCTTTATTTTAAGAGAATTTTGCAGGAAATCTCTATTGACATAAACATCACTACACCCAAATTGTATAGATCCGTGACCTAAATATATTTAATTAATAAAATAATTAATTAACAAATTAAATCATAAATAAATTTTAATAAAAATCTGATTTTTGAAGCTTGAAACTTATTTTCTTAATTGTGAAATGTGTAATACTTAAATTCTTACTTATGAAATTTTCCCAATCTATAATAATACTCTTTATTTTAAGAGAATTTTGCAGGAAATCTCTATTGACATAAACATCACTACACGGTCACAATAAACCGAAGGGGCAGCAATATATAAGACCACACTAGGACAAATAGTGGACCTAGCCCAATAGGATAGGTTAGTAGGCCAAGTATATCACGAAATGGGCTGACACTATAAGCCATCCAAAAAGATGGGAAACCGGCCATGAGCAATACTAATTAAATTAGGCTACTTCCAATAGCTTAAATAGTTATAGGTCGGGTCATTTTATTGATAACGATTTGGTACATAATTGGTTCTTTTTTATGAAAAAGGCCAATAAACCTTTTATTTTCATTAGGTAAAACTACAGTTGGGTTCCTAACTTTGCAAAAGGTGCAAGTAGGTCATGTACTTTAATTTTTTAATAAAATAAAGGAAAGTAGCCATTTTTTTTTAATGGACTGTCATGAAGTAACATAATTTTAAGCTCATAAAAATTAACTAACATGTAAGAGAACATTATTAGTTTTAACTAAAAGCAAAAAGAAAAAGAAAATTACCCCATGAACTTGATTTCAAATACTTAATCAAATACCTTTATCTAATTGGAGTATTCTTTATTGACTACAAATTTAAGAGCTCCCATTTTAAACTTCATATTTCAATTTATTGAATTAATATCATTCAAAAAAAATTTACAGAACACAAAATTTATAAATTAATTTTTTTTCCTTTTTTTTTATGTTAACACAAAAACACAATAAGACTGACATGAATGTCATAAAATTATGTATGATGTTTATCTATTCATCTTAATTTTTATTCAAGTTTTTTATATCATAAAGGAATTACACACACTTAAAGTACGGCAATTCTACTAGTTTTTCCTCTGAAAATCTACTTATCACTAAGACAAGATAAACATATTGACGATTGTGAGTCCTTGCTACATACCTTCGACTTTAGCTCATATCAATAGAATGAAAATAATAGTTGAGGTTCCTAACTTTTGGCATGTATTATTTTGATCCTTAACTTTTGAAAGGAGCATTTGGTCAAGTCTGGATGATTTTACCCTTTTCTAAGTCAAAACTTTTCTATAAAGACTATTTTACCCTTAGTTTTAAATAAACAAGTTATGAAAAACACTAGCAAGTTAGAAAACAGAGAAGAGAGAACGAGAAAAAAAAAATCCAAAAAGAAAAACATCAATTGGCTTCC